GACGGGGAGATAAGAAAAAAACCGGCCCGATGAAATTAAAAAACGACGTGTATTAGCATCACGAGAGGAGTTGAGTGAATGAAATTAGTTTTTTTGGCAAATTAACTTACGTTAATTCATGTGAAACCTCTTATAAAATAGTCATCAATTTTTTTTCTCACTCACTCAATTTTTTACATTTTAAATAACCAGTTGGACCTGGAGAATCTTTTATTCTAGATGACTTTAGTAGCAAAAAATTGAGGGTGAAATATCCAGGATTCTTCTAGACTTTTTAACATTTTTGAATGAAACTTTCGGTGCATTTGTGAAAAATTTTCATTAGACTATTTTTTCGGTAAAATTTCAAGGGATTTCATAATTTAAAATTCACACATTTAAAGTAAAAATTAAGAAAAGCTATAAATTTGAAATTCCATGTTTTTTAATACTTTATTTATTAATTATATTAATTAATTATAGGACAAAATTTCCCCGGAGCAAATTTGTAAATACAGTATCAACATTCACGTGAGGAAAAACGTAGATTTTAGCGAAACTCGACTGTCCCTGTGAGAAAATCCAAAATCTGACCCTTGGTCCAGGTGAAAATGAAAATTANCCGCAGACAAACGCGAAACCCTCCATTCTCTCCCAGTGGCCAGCCGCCATGATGATTGTGCGCAGTGGAGTTGCGCAATGGCAAAATTTAGCATTACACTTTTTACCGGTCTGAGCTCAATAATATGCTCTAATAAAGTCTGATTTCTTGATAAAATCATTCCCGGCACTCAATATTAACTGATTATTGCACGNAATACGGAAACATTAGATTTATTCACTGGAAGAACGTTTTTAGATTATTATTGTTCCTTTACGATCACAAGAGACTTGTGTGTTTTGTGATTTTATTCGTCCCTCCTCTCATTGTGATCCACCAATGAAATCAACAATCAAAGAATAAAAAATTGATATTTAGGGGACTCACCGGTCGTTGAAACACCCGGCGTCAGCTTGGCATATATTCCAATCCAACTCCAACAATTCCACTTTTCACGTTGATCCTTCTCTATTCGTGCAGTACCAAAGGCCGGCCGCCATGATGGATGNACTCACCGGTCGTTGAAACACCCGGCGTCAGCTTGGCATATATTCCAATCCAACTCCAACAATTCCACTTTTCACGTTGATCCTTCTCTATTCGTGCAGTACCAAAGGCCGGCCGCCATGATAGATGTGCGCACTAGCCATGTTTTTGGCATTTGCACTCTTTATACGTCTCGATTCTGTAATAATGCAATAATAAATTCCGAGTTTTTGTGATAAAATCCTTTCTTGCCATGAATGTTAACTGATTATTGCATGAAAAATAATTATTTCCCCGGTTTAATCCCCTTTCTCACCGAAAATCCGCGGACGAACGCCAAACCCTGCAGCCCCTGCCAGTGACCAGCCGCCATGGTGGATGTGCGCAGAGAAGTTGCGCAGTAGTGATGTTTTTGACATTGTACTCTTTATACGTCTCGATTCTGCAATAATGCAATAATAAAGTCTGATTTTTTGATAAAATCATTTCTTGCCATGAATGTTAGCTGATTATTGTATTATTAATAATTATTTCCCCGGTTTAATCCCCTTTCTCACCGAAAATCCGTTGACGAACGCCAAAACCTCCATCCTCTGCCAATGACCCGCCGCCATGTTGAATGTGCGCGGAGGAGTTGCGCAATAGCGAAATTTGGCATTCCACTTTTTAGAGGTGTAGGCTTCATAATATGCCCTAATAAAGTCTGATTACTTGATAAAATCACTGCCTGCCATCAATATTAACTGATTATTGCACTATTAATACTAATTTCCCGGGTTTAATGCCCTTTCTCACCGAAAATCCGCAGACAAACGCCAAACCCTCCATTCTCTGCCAGTGGTCAGCCGCCATGATGAATGTGCGCGGAGGAGTTGCGCAATGGCGAAATATAGCATCGCACTTTTTACAGGTCTGGGCTTAATAATATCCACTAATACATCTGATTTCTTGATAAAATCATTCCCGGCACTCAATATTACCTGATTATTGCACGATTAATAAGTATTTTCCCGGTTTAATCCCTTTGTTCCTCGAAAATCCGCGGATGAACGCCACAACCTCCATCCTCTGCCAGTGGCCGGCCGCCATGATGAATGTGCGCAGAGGAGTTGCGCAGTAGCGCAGTTGATATATTTTGAATATGCTACTCTCTCTTATAAATATCCAAATATACTCCTAGAAATTATCCTAGTATACGATAATAAACTCTGATTTATTAATTGTCATTCTTTGATTACCTATTACATGATGCCTATGAGGATTATGACACCTCATTTCCTTAGTATCGATATGGCGGCGGACAACTTGTGCATGTCCTACTTGCTTGCCTGTTTTTAAGGGCAGCGGGGAACCATCAGCTGTGCGTTGAGCGATCCTTCCTCCCATAAACGCATATATATGTATATACACATATGAACGAAACAATTGAATTACTCACCCAGATTCATTGAACAATTGTTGAATACCCATCGACAATGAAAACCAACCGAAATTTTTTCCGTGAATTGTTTTTGCAAATGTCCCCTCTTAAATTTGTCCGCCAGATATCCCCGTTGGATGCTTTGAGTTCTGACCCGTGTAACCCTTGGAAGCCTTGCAAATTGAAAAAGTCAACCCTCGTGACCCTCTTGACCCTTAATTTGACCGTTGCTGGTTTTCGGGAACCTCAATTGGATCCTCGTGACCCTTGGGTGTCTTGAAGAAATATCACAACAATGATTTTATCATTTTTATTTTGTGTTTATTGTACCAAAAAATTCATTCGTTTTAATCACCTTCGACTCATTATAATATAATTTTATCCTTCCTCTTCTATTATATTTTATGCACTTATTAATTAATATTTATAATAGGATAGTGTGTGTTCCTTGTTATTGTTTCTATATATTTTTTCATTTTTCATTTTGTTTTGTTTTCTTTTCATTTTGTTTTCGTTAATACGAATACAAATTCACCGTTAGTAGCATCATCTTCTCAGAGTTTATCATTCTTTTCAATCTCCATTTCCATCAGTGGACAATAACACGGCGTTTTGCATTTAAAAACAGAGGTGTGGAGGACTCACGGCCCAACCTCCCCAATACATTTTGTTTATTCTCTCAAAAAACTATTTTTCTTTTTTCTATGGCACTTACTCTCTTCCATCGTCCCAATGCAACAATTCAATTTTCATGTTCTTAGCCCCCGCCTAAAAAATACAATGGAAACATGTATTTCTTTCGTGAAAAACAATGCTACTCCAAATTTTATTGAATTAAGAGACAAAACAACATCGGTGAAATATCCAAGGCAGTCACACCCATTAACTAACATAATTGTAAAAAATAAATTTCATCCTATGCTATTCATTACTATTATTTTTATCGCATATTCACTGAAATATCGTTCAACTCAGACAATTTAAGATTTTACACTTGTAATTCACCATGTTATTTTTATTTTTAATTCAGTAAGTTGTTATTCCTGCTAGACATATTAATGCCATCATTACTGCAATAACAATTACGATATAATAGAAATTTAGGTAATCCATTAAAATATTGTAAATATGTGAGATCTTTGAGTATAATGACGTCATCTCGATTGATAGTCATTTTTTTTTATGTTTTTGTTTTTGTTTCTTCGTAATTTTGTTTACTGAAAAATACACATGAGTTGACATAATGAAAGAATGAGCCATTTCAGATCAGCTGTTGAATTCTTGATTGCCAATTTATCGATTCATTAAATTCACGAAACAAATGCCAGAAAAAAAGAAGGAGAGTTGAGCATTTGTTTGAAAATCCAATTATCACATATAATTTATTATGAGACAGGTAAAAAAAGTAGTTGAGAAGCAAGCTTTCATTTTCTTCCGTATAATGAATAATCCCCCTCGTGTTACAAGTATTTTAAACACTGCTAGCTAATCATTAAAATTTTTAATTTAGACGTGTTGTTTGAAAATGATTTCAAGATGAGTATCTCAGGGCTTCAATTTGAATAAACGTATGTGAATATTTAAAAAAAAGTTGAAGAACAGTAACTCAACTGCACTCTGTCTAAATAATACAAGTTGAAAAAATGATGAGCCATCTATTCTATTCAAGGGAAGCAATGGATCTACCTAATTTTCCGTTGACTTGATTTCTTTTAGATTACAAAATAGCGATACATCTATATTCGAATTGAAATTCTGAGATATATCATTTGTCATTATTTTCTCCAGTTATCTCTAGTTAGGTATTTGTCAAGCGCAGGACATGATGGCTTTTCTCACAGATGTACTAACATGATTGAAAGAAGAATAATTTGATGTTGACAAGGTCTACAATAGTTACGTAGCCATCTGTGATTATTTCAATTGATTAATCAATCAAAAAGACGAAAAGTAATTATTAATATTTTTTTTTCTTTCAATCAATTTTTCAATAGAATTTTTGCAAAAATAATAAAATAATAATAACATCGCGATGATTGCGCTTGCCCCTAATTATGTATCAAGAGTTTCTTTAATATCTTTAATATAATTTATTACCAAAAAATGGACTGTGGCGTAAACTTAATCTAGAGAATTTTAGTAGATTGGAAATCAAAATGAATTGATCTATTTATTTTTTGAGTGTCGATTTTGTTTCGGTTGCTTGGTGAGCCGATATATCATGTGCAAATTGCATCAAACGATGTTTTTTTCTTAATGAATTTATTATTTTTTGAAATGTTGAAAAAAATCATACGAGCTGCTCTTGTCCATTTGTTTACCAGCGGAACCGGAGGATTTTTCATTTATTGATGGATATGAAGTATTGCAAAATATTTGGTTACAACTCCATGTCTTGTGCCTCATCCTCGCTAAAGTCACTCATCGAGGATTCACTATCTGATGACATGCCATTACCATTGCCACCATTCTCCTGGTCCCTGAGTGCCTCTTCTGTCGCGTATTTCCTTACATAATCTGAAAGAAAAATTTCGAAAAAATTATTGACCTTTGATGCCTTTGAAATTATATTTATTAATAAAAAACATATGTTTGGTTGTGCATCTGAAAAATTATATTATCAAGTAAAATTTTCAATATATGGAGAGACTTGAAGGCATTTTTAAGCATTCAAAATTAGCAAATCCATAAAATCGACTTCCAACAACTTCTGACCTGCAACTTTTTTCTTGTACTCTTCTGGCTTATGAAGATACATAGCAGCGGCATCGCCGTTGAGTGGATCAATCGGATTGGGATATGTTAACAACTGGGGTAGGAAAGACTCGAAAATATTGGACAAATCTGTAACAGAGAGAAAAAAAGAAAACTCTACCAATAAACTCTCATGACCATTGAGTTGAGCTAAATTAATGACATCTCACCGTAAAGGGCCGTCCATGCTTGGTTGATGACATCAAGACAAACCGTGCCGGAGACTTCATCGATGTTTGGATGATAAACTTTATTGATGAAGCCAATGGAGGGCGATTTGAAGGGATAATGCTCGGGCAAGTGAACTCTCACCTTCCATATTCCTCCTTCGTAAGGCGCTAAAATACATCATATCATCCTTTTTATTTTTTTCCATTTCTCCTGACTTATTATTCCTACTAAAATTTACCCCTTTTTATTTATCATATCCATTTATAATTATTAAACCATTCACCACTCGAAAAAAGTAAAAATTTTCATTCACCGATTACATCGACAATTACCAATGTCAATTTTGCATAAAATAGAAAGGGTTATGCATTGGATATGGAGAGTGGCATATTGACGCGGTTCGATGCTAGCGAATAGAACAACCGCCTACAAGTGAGGATGACCCACTAACCCAGTTTCTCAACGGGCTACATACACCAAAGTATCAGCAGGAACACTCTTCCCGTTGGACTCAAGCAAATAAAATGGATGAAAAATTTTCGAAAACCTGCTTATACATATAATAATTACGTCCATCATATTAAAAACAAAATTGTCGTGTCCAAATTATCCAGCTTTTTTCCGTACGTTCTCAATATAATTTACAGAAAGTAAATATTGAAAAACGACTTGATACTTTGAAATTGAACAACAGATAATTTATTGTAAATTATTATATTTTTAAACAACTAGAGAGAGAGGGAGAGAAATAAGTGTAGGAATTGTATTTAATCATGCAAGAGACGTGCTAACATTCAATAATCGTTAGATGCATGGCTTTCATTAATTACAAGTGTACTTGTACTTGGATTTTCACATTGGAAATAGAATAATGAATTTATCATTCATGACAGCTTACAGGAGAGTAGTGAAAGGGCAATAAGGGCAATAATTATAATATATTATTATTGTCCATTGTCATTATTGAACAACCGTACTTGAAGAACAGACAATTTGCCGTGATTCTCTTTACACTGTCTGCCGCCTCATTGGGGATTTTCTTATTCGTCATTACCAAGGGCCCTCGGGGAAAAACTTTCAACTTACGTATCAAGGTTTCAACAAGGTAGAGGTGAAAAATAAAGAAATTTGAAAAAATTGCCTCAATGAGAGATACTTTTTTTCTAGGGCTTTTCAAGACAAAAAATTATCTAGACAATAGTATTTCAAATTGAGGCATGATTCTTTGGATGTTCAATTCAATCTTCAAAATTGACTTTCACCCAAAAGAATATTCAAAAAGAAAAAAAAATCAATTATTCATGATATTTAATTAAATATTGCTGAACAACATGGCCTTTACCAAGAAAATGTTACATGTTACTATTTTTTATTTAATTTTCAAAGACAGGAGAAACTGGTTAATTATTTAATTGAGTCAATACTCACTTCCACGTGGTCCGTAAAACTTGACAGAGAACTCGTTGAGCCCACCGAGGATCGTCACCTCGTGTTTGCTCTCTATTCTGTAGGCAGCAAATCGTTGAGGAAAATATGTGACAAAATAATCTTCATGAACAATAACACAAGAGAATTGATTCCTCACATTGTCGTCGTTATGGCAACCCTTAGCACATACATTGCCTTTTTTCTTCATAATATTTAAATTATTCCTCATTTATCAACACAACATTGCTATTTTAAACAATTGAATTTTTCTTTCTCAACTGGATATTTTTCCCTCCATGAAAAGACAATTGGATGGGCTCAGGCTCAGAGTGAATCATGTCTCTAATTGTCTCCAGAGTGTGATAATTTTAAAAAACATTCAACCTTGAGTTTCGACAAGTCCGAATTGAACTATACGTTTGCATTGGTGGCACACTGCCAAATGCACTCGTATTTTTTCTCATGTTTCATTTACATATTATTTTCTATCCTCGCATATATCATTCAATCGCTCAAAAATTGTCAACATTTGAAGAAAAAACAATATTTTGTAATAGTATAATAATTATCTGCTAAAAAGAGTTTTAAACTCTTTCCTTGTGTGTTTCGTTATAATAATTATTAGAAAAAATAATAATAAATAAATAAAAAATGAAAGAAAAAAAATATGCTATGCATCAAGTTAATTGACAACTGGATAATTACGATATATCAAGTATACTTTCCAATCCAATGCACGCCAATATCAATGCATTGGGTACGAACCAATGTTGTGCGCACACGGAACGGTACAATCAGCTGGTTAAAAACAGCTGTGACCCGTCATCGGTGTAATACAAAGTTAAATACCCTCCTTCGCATTCTAAGGCCTCTATATTTTTGCCATTACTCTGCCAATTGGCGAGATTTAAAATTAAAGCACAATTGTAATTTTCATAAAAATTTACTAAAAATTTCCACAAATCTCTGTAAAAAAAAGAGCAAAAAAACAATATGTAAAGGATACAACTTGATAACATCGGTGTCCATGCGTCGCTTGCCAGCACTCGGGGACGACATCTTCCTCAATCCAATCGTTCAAACAATGGACGTAGTGACAATCAAAGGGCACCAATGCCAAATCCCCTCCAATTACGTAAAAATCACAATAATTCCCCCGGATGCCACTTGGTTATTTTTCATTTATTTCATCTCATGAGTCCTTTCCCATCCCACACACCACTGTGTTTCTCGTAAGATATAGTATAGCAACGAACAAGGATAAAAAAATGAAAAGAGAGGAAAATAAAAGTGACAAGCACCCAACAAAAGACCTGGACTCGGGTTATTCAGTTTTGCAGAACGCCCTCGACTGACTGGCCCCAGACGTTGAGAAAAAATGACTAATTCAATCCAATGGATTCACTATTTTACGAGTAGCAATGTTTTTCTCCGTCAATTAGTCGTAACACTTGCTTCTCCAAAACAGGCATTCCCACTATTCCCACTATATACTAAGCTTTGTTCTCTCTCGAGTACAGTTTAATCGTCATCTTTGCTTGCACTCGGCCGTACGATATATCTTGCCTCATTCACTTGGCATAAAATGACACTTGAAAAATAAGGAGGAGGCATAAAGAAGAAAAAAACGAAATTATTCATTGAAAGTAAAAGGATTCTTGTCAACTTTTTTTTTGATTTTTTTTTTTTTTTTTTT